ATCTCTCCTCTTGTGCGCTGGCTGGGCAGGTGAGAACGTTCCAGGCCACTTGAGAATTACGGGTCTCATTGTCAATTAACAAAGCAACCGCTGTAGTATGGCGGCTGAGTATAGATTCTGCATACAGTGTAGATTATAGATTCCGTATCAAGTGTAGATTCTGTGGAGTAGAAAAGGGGTCCCCAACCCCCAGGCCATGGACCAGTACTAGTCTGTGGCCTGTTAGGAACCGGGCCGCACAGCAGCAGGTGAGCAGCAGGTGAGCAAGCAAAGCTTCATCTGTATTTACAGGTGCTCCCATTGCTTGCATTACCGCTTGAGCTCTGCCTCCTGTCAGATCAGCAGCCGCATTAGATTCTTACAGGAGCACAAACCCAATTGTGAACTGTGTGTGTGAGGGATCTAGGTTGCAAGCTCCTTATGAGAATCCTGTGTCTGACTACCTGTCACTGTCTCCCATCACCTCCAAATGGGACCATCTAGTTGCGGGAAGACAAGCTCAGGTCTCCCATTGATTCTACATTATGGTGAATTGTATATAATTATTTCATCATGTATAACAATGTAATAGTGATAGAAATAAAGTGTACAATAAATGTAATGCGCTTGAATCATCCTGAGACCGTCCCCCCATCCCCAGTTAGTGGAAAAACTGTCTTCCATGAAACCACTCCCTGGTGCCAAAAAGGTTGGGGACGGCTGTAGTATAGTATAGCTTAGCTTCAAATTCTGCTGCTTTCTCCCTCTCGCTCTCTTTTTTTTTTTTTTTTGAGATGGAGTCTCTCTCTGTCCCCAGGCTGGAGTGCACTGGCGTGATCTGGGCTCACGGCAACCTCTGACTCCCTGGTTCAAGCGATTCTCCTGCCTCAGCTTCCCGAGTAGCTGGGATTACAGGCATGGGCCACCACGCCCAGCTAATTTTTGTATTTTTAGTAGAGATGGGGTTTCACCATGTTGGCCGGGATGATCTCAAGCTCCTGACCTCGTGATCTGCCCGCTTCGGCCTCCCAAACTGCTGGGATTACAGTCATGAGCCACCATGCCCGGCCCTGGTTTCCTCTCTTAATAGATGGGTGACCTTCTTAACCTTTGTGCCTCAGTCTCCTCATCTGTAAAGTGGCTTTAAGAATAGTACTTATCTTAAAGTATACTTTAAGTATACTTATCTTAATGTATACTTGAAATGGCTTGCCAGACTCAGTGGCTCATGCCTGTAATCCCAGCACAGATTATAGAGAGGCCGAGGCGGGCAGATCACCTGAGGTCAGGAGTTTGAGACCAGCCTGAGCAACATGGTGAAACTCCCATCTCTACCAAAAATTAAAAATTAGCCAGGCATGGTAGCAGGAGCCTGTAATCCCAGCTACTCAGAAGGCTGAGGCAGGAAAACTCTTTGAACCCAGGAGGTGGAGGTTACAGTGAGCTGAGATAGCCTTACTGCACTCCAGTCTGGATGACAGAGAGACTCCATCTCAAAAGAAAAAAGAAAATTGCTAAAAGAGTAAATTTTACATGTTTTTAACCACAAAGAAAAGTATATGAGGTAATGGATGTGTCAGCTAGCTTGATTTAACCATTCTATAATGTATACATGTATCAAAACATCATGTTGTATACCATAAATATATTCCATTTTTATTTGTCAATTATAAATAAAGAATTGTGCTTTTTTTTTTTTTTTTTTTTTTTTTAAGAGACAGGATCTTGCTCTGCCACCCAGGCTGGAGTGGCTGGCTATTTTTTTCATTTTGTGGTAGAGTCTTGTTATGTTGCCCAGGCTAGAATCGTACTTATCAGAAGAATTAAATGGCATAGTACATCTGTTGCATGTAACACAGTGCTGGCACCTGAGAAGCGATCAGTAAATGTAAATGTTAGCTTCTATTTGTATTATGGTTTTATCCAGCTGCCTCCTGAGCTTGTTTAATATGAGCCAGCCACAAGAGATGATCCATTCTGAGTGTGCCAGGAAATCATGTTTCTGGGCCCAGAAGTCCAGTGATTGCCCTCTGGAGAACGGGGGCAGATTCACCAAGGTGTCCGCTACTGTGTGGGACTGGACAGGTTATCAGATGCCCGTCTCCTGGCCTCTCATCATGGATCCACAGTGGCGTGCAAGTGTTCTTTTGTGACATTTCAGCACACATGGATTATTATAGTGACTACATCATGTTTGAGATCACAGTGAGATCTTCTAGAGGGCCTTGTGCTTTCCCTTGCATCCTTTCCATTAGCTAAAGGGTAAATAGTGAATACTTCCTTCCTGAATGACATAAAGAGGATTATAGAGAATTCAGATGAAACTGGAGCATGCCCAGAAAAAATGAAGTAAATGGGAAGAGTGAAAACTAGAAAACTGGAGAGGGCATGATGGTCAGGCAAGACATTATTTATTTTTTTCTTTTTTTGAGATGGAGTTTCATTCTTATTGCCCAGACAGGAGTGCAGTGGTGCAATCTCAGCTCATTGCAACTTCCAACTCCCAGGTTCAAGCAATTCTCCTGCCTCAGCCTCCTGAGTAGCTGGGATTACAGGTGCCCACCACCACGCCGTTAATTTTTTGTATTTTTAGTAGAGACGGGGTTGCACCATGTTGGCCAGGCTGGTCTTGAACTCCTGACTTCAGGCGATGCACCCGCCTTGCCTCCCAAAGTGCCGGGATTACAGGTGAGCCACTGTGTCCAGCCGAGCCATTCATAAACGGAGCTCCCAGAAGAGCTCACTGGAGTCAGGGGTCCAGACCTAGCAAACCCAAGAGGACAGTGGCTCCTAGAGGAGCAATGTGGTTGTTCCAACACTGCAGCCCTTGTATGTGCTGCCCAGGGGTTGCCAGAAGGGCCACTGGATGAATTTAGTCGCTGTCCTAACATGGTGGCCATGAGGGAGACCCCAGACCTCAGCAGCTTCTGCATCTCTGGGCATGGTGAGAAGCCAGGAGTGGAAACTAAGAAGGTCATGACTCCAGCAGCTGGGGAGGGCACTCGGTTTTCCTTAGAAGGTGGCAGCAAGGGAGGGCTCAATCTCCCAAGCCCAACGGCTCTGAGTTTGCACACTCACCATGTGATTCCATTCTCTTGTGTCCATCACAGCCCTGTGGGCCTCAGAGTCTGTTTCCCTAAGCCTGCGCTCTAGCTCCTTGTGATGGCTTCACAGACCCCCCCCCCCACAGATTCAGTTTTCCCCTGGGCCTCACCCATCTGGGAAATTCCTATATGGGCGTCCTATAAACCACTGCAAACTTCAAACACTCCTATTAAACCCAACATACACATTTTTAGGATCTTAAATACTGACCATGCTATTAAAGGTAGAATCATAGACATTTTAGAGTAAATTGGGACCTTAGAGCTCTCCAACGCTCCTGAATTTTACAAATGAAGGAAGTGAAGCTCAGAAAGGTTGAGCTACTTACCCGAGGACACACAGCTGGCTCAGGGGAGGGGGTAGAACTAGAAGCCTGATGTTTATAGGAACTCATTTCTCCATGCCACATTCTTAACAAATGTAGGCTTTGTAAGGATTTACATTGATTCATCTGCTAAATTTCAAGTTGATTTATTTGAGTGATGTGTTTAGTTGATTCATTGTATATCTCTGCTGAAATTATTCCTAGCCATTGCTAAAGCGGTTAGGTCTGGGCTGAAAATCAGAAGAATCTCTGTAAAATGTTGAAAGATGAGCCAATTTTTTAAAACCCAGAAGGGAATGTGTATGGCCTGTGTAGCTGGAGTTTTCTAAACATTTTTTTTCTTCATCTGTGGAACATTTTTATCATTCTAGGGAAGATGTAGACATCGAATGTACTAAAAGGATTTCATTTGACTGCTATGTACTTACCCCTGCCTGTAATCCTCTAATAAACACTCGCAGGCAGAACAGCCTAATTGGCAGGATGAGTTAATGCACAGGCCATTTATTTGCCAAGCACATGACACAGACCATGAACAAAATAAGCTCGAACTGCCTCTCCCTGTTAGCAAATGCTTGTCTGCACTCCGCCCTCTCGCAACCTGCTCTTCCTCTGGGCTTGAGCTTGGGGACAGTTTGATGTACAACTGCCATGCACCAGCAGGCTTCAGATGAGCCTGGAAAGAAATGCAGGGGAAAGAACTTTCTGGTCAGGAGAACCTCTCGCCGCAGGGGAGCGGCCACCCCAAGTGAAAACATGTGTGCTGGCAGGGCACGGTGGTTCACGCCTGTAATCCCAGCACTTTGGGAGGCTGAGGAGGGCAGATCACCTGAGGTCAGGAGTTTGAGACTAGCCTGGCCAACATAGTGAAACCCCATCTCTACAAAAAATACAAAAATTAGCTGGACATGGTGGGTGCCTGTAATCTCAGCTACTTGGGAGGCTGAGGCAGGAGAATCACTTGAACTTGGGAGATGGAGGTTGCAGTGAGCGGGGGTCGTGCCACCGCACTCTAGCCTGGGCAACAGAGTGAGACTCTGCCTCAAAAAATAAATAAATAAAAATTAAAAATAAATAAAAATAAAACATGTATGCTTCTAAAACATAGCTAAATATGAGTTCTGTTGAGGAGGATGAAGTGTCTCTCTGTGTTGGTCACAAGAGTGGATTGCAATAAAACCACTAATAATGATAATAAATATGATCACACTGGCTTGGCCAGGGGCTGCCTTCTGCTTTCTTCTTCCAGAAACGGTTTAGCAAAGTCATTGTGAGACTACTGTCCTGGAGCCTCCACTCCTCACCTACTCAAAAGTATAGCAAGGCTGTTTGAGCCTCCTGCCATCCCTTATTCCTGTCTCCATGCTGACCTGCCTTGCAAGGGCAGCCTCCCTTTCTTGGAGGCACACTTCGAACCAGTCTCCTGGGTTTGCACGAACCCTCCCTCCAGCCTGGGCATGAGCTTGTCATAGGCTGTGCGCACTATAAAGCCTATCCTAGGGCTTATCCTCACTCTACGTGGACACCTCTTCCCTGGACCCACTCTGCGAAGGGGCCTTTAACCAAATGCCTGTGCTCTGTGCCCTCATAGGTCTCCCAGGCAGCTGCGGACCTCCTGGCCTACTGTGAAGCTCACGTGCGGGAAGACCCTCTCATCATTCCAGTGCCTGCGTCAGAAAACCCCTTTCGCGAGAAGAAGTTCTTTTGTACCATTCTCTAACTTCATGTGTGATGAAAACGCCTCCTTTTCTGACCTTCGAAGTCCCCTGTAGAGACCATGCATGCTCTAAGCCTTAGGGAGTGAGACCAGCACCCATCCCTGCCCAGCCAATGGTGGCCGGGGCTTGTCTTATGTTTTCATCTGTTTACTTCGTGGCATTCAATTTCATTTTTTTCCTTTTCATTTTCATGTTATTTTCATTATTGGCAAAGAAAATCAAAATTTTTATAGCCAAATAACAAATGTGCCATGTAAAAATAAGTCTGGAGTTAAGAGTTTAAAATTTTTAAACATCAATTTCCAAGTTTATTTCATATGAATACATTTCAGGGGATAACTTATTTAAAAAAAAATGCCTAAATATCTTTTATTTGCAATATTCAGTATCAAATTAGAGCATTTTGGCCAACTGAAACATATAACGTTCTCATCTCCTTTCCTGGAGAAAGCAGCTGCAGAGGTTCTCTAGTTCCTGCATTTCCATCATCCTAGTGAAAAGACGACCCACAGGATTGGAATGGTTTTCTTTTGTTTGTTGTTGTTGTTGTTGTGGTGGTGGTGGTGTTGAGACAGAGTCTTGCTCCGTTGCCCAGGCTGGAGTGCAGTGGTGCGACCTCAGCTCACTGCGACCTCCACCTCCTGGGTTCAAGCGATTCTCCTGCCTCAGCCTCCTGAGTAGCTGGGATTACAGGCATGCACCACCATGCCCAGCTAATTTTTTGTATTTTTAATAGAGACAGGGTTTCACCATGTTGGTCAGGCTGGTCTCAAATGCCTGACTTTGTGATCCACCCGCCTCAGCCTCCCAAAGCGCTGGGGTTACAGGCGTGAGCCACCGCGCCCAGCCGTGGAATGGTTTTCTTAACGTATCCTCCCGGGGCCATGGTGGATGTCCCTTGTTTCAGTGGTCCTGCAAAGATAGATGGTGGGCAGACACTGAAGTCAACTTGACTGTAAAAGTACCCCATGCCGTTGATATCTGTAGCAGACCTGTGGGTGCAGTCTCCCCTCTCCAAATGCCACCTCTTCCTGCTCCCTCCTCTTTTGGCTCCTACTTAGTAGTTCCATTGTGGGCTGCAGTAATATAAGCACCTGTTCTGGACACAGCGCTGGGCCCGCTGGGGTTTTACTAGGGCAGTCCCTCCTCTGCAGGAGTGAGTCATGGTGACAGCAGCCCCCTGTGTGCTCCCTAGTCATCTGAGCATTGGTGTGCATTAAGGTACTTAATCTTCCAACAATAAATACCATAAGTGCATGTCTGTTTTGTTTTATTTTATTCATCTTTTTGAGACAGAGTCTTGCTCTGTTGCCCAGGCTGGAATGCAATGGCACAATCTCAGCTCACTGCAACCTCCACTCCCAGGTTCAAATGATCCTCATGTCTCAGCCTCCCTAGTAGCTGGGATGACAAGCGCAGGCCAGCACATCTGGCTCATTTTTGTATTTTTAGTAGAGACGGGCTTTCACCATGTTGGCCAGGCTGGTCTCCAACTCCTGGCCTCAAGTGATCTGCCCACCTCGGCCTCCCAAAGTGCTGGGATTATAGGTGTGAGTCAGTGCACCCGGCCATATGTCTGTTTTAGAGTGAGGGGAAACTGAGGCACAAAAAGTTTATGTAGTTTGCCCAAGGTTACCCATGGTAAGCAGAAAAACTGGGGTTTGAGGGCAGGCACCCGGCCCCAGAGTTCCCTTAGCCCCCTGAACTGTGCTACCTTCCAGGTCTACCTGTTTGCAGGTAGGGAGACCTGCAAACTATCTTAACTGCACACCGTGAAGCAAACACCTTTTTTGCACCAACCCATGGCACACTTCACTTCCCACGTTCACCAGGAGGAAGCCGAATTCTGGCAGTTTAAGGAAGGTGATTCATGGATGCCCCAAGGAAAGGCTAGACATTGATGAATTAGCTCTTGGATTGTCTAAGATCAACCTGAAGGCCCTACCTAAACCAAACTCATATGACCCTGATGAAAGAGGAGAATACACTGTGGGAGCAGAGCTCTTTGCCTAAGTTTGTTCTATTCTGTTTATTTGGAAACTGCCTGTCTCCCTAGTTCTGACCAAGACTTGCTGTGTGATACAGAGCAGGCCATTGTGTGCCTGAAATGTTCTAACCTGCAAATTGGGCTTAATGGTAATTATCCTGCCTTTCTGTCTGAGAGGAAACAGAGATGCGACATAGATGAAAGCTCTGATTATCATTTAAAACAAATAAATGTACTAAATGCCATGGTATAATATAGGGAAGAATGGATGACTTCAAAGAGACCATGGTTCTGTTAGATGAATAAAATTGCCTGCAAAGAGGCACATATAATTTTCAGATCAATTAATGACTTGCTGCCCTCGTAAATGGATTTAGGACATTTTTATTCCTTGCTTCTTTTGTTAAAACCCATTCTGAGTTTCATTATCAGCTCACTGATAATATCAGTGTTGTTAAGATGCTCAAACTAGAGCAGAATTGTATGCTGGATGTGACGCTAAGACCTCAGATCCTTTGATAGTGCAGTTTATGACCAGGATCTCTTTATTCTGTGGTTCACGCCAACATCATTAACCCGATGAAGCAAAGCACAAGTCACAAAAGCACATCAGAGAAGCTGAGAAAGTAGGACAGCACAGAGAGCATCAAAATCAGGTCAAAAAAATGCTGCTTTCCTCTTCCACCAAACTTTCTCTGCGTTGTTTTTACATGTCCCGTCCCTCCAGATTCAGGCTCCCTTTTGTTCTCTCTCCTTTTCCTTTTCCTCCTCTCTTCCTTACCTCCCCCTATGAGATGCTTTTCTGTCCTTTTATTGCACCTCTTCCAGACCTATGTCATTTTGAGATGGGTCACCCTTCCTAGAGTGGTCGTGAACCCAGCTTCCACTTCTTTTTTTTGTTTTTGAGACAGTCTTGCTCTGTCGTCCAGGCTGGAGTGCAGTGGCGCCATCTCGGCTCACTGCAACCTCCACCTCCTGGGTTCAAGCGATTCTCGTGTCTCAGCCTCCCGAGGAGCTGGGATTACAGGCACCCACCACCACACCTGGCTAATTTTTGTATTTTTAGTAGAGACAGAGTTTCACCATGTTGGCCACGCTCGTCTCAAACCTTTGACCTCAAGTGGTCCGCCCGCCTTGGCCTCCCGAAGTGCTGGGATTACAGGCGTGAGCCACCGCACCTGGCCTAGCTCCCTCTTCTTAGATGCAGATTTCTGCACATGAGCTATGAGATCCACAGACATGTCACTGAGCTCCCCCACTCTGTCAGTGGAAGATGAATGGAATAAAGCCTGCTTGCATTATGGAGTGCAGCTGTGAGGACAGTTGTCATTTTTGTGTTTTCAGCTTAACCGTCCAGCATCTCCCCTCCCTTCCTATAGCAGGGACATCATGCCTTAGATATAACCTTAGTGGTGTGTAGTACCCACCGTGGAAGCTGAAGAAGGGAGTTATTCCCTGTCTCTCAGGCACACCCTGCTTCCAGCCCCATACCAGTCGGGAAGTGGTCATTGACCTGGGGTGGACTACCTGGACCCTTGCTTGGGGCTATGAGCCTGGAGAATGTGACACAGAAATGAAGGGATGCTGAGACTCATTTCAAGGAAGTCACCGTGGTCCGGGGTTGGTAGTCATCCAGTAAGGCAGTTGTCTAGGGCTGGCAGGCTGAAGGGATGGTGTGTCCACTGGTAGCAATGTCCAGGGATGGCAGGGTCCTGGGAATGTCATTTCTGCTCCACTCACTGGACTTGCTGAGCTGTCTCTGCCTCCACCTATCTTCCTACAGATCTCCCTTCTAGTTTTCTGTCAATTCTTTAAGCCAGCAAACTCCTTCCAGTACATTCCTTATTCTTTCATGAAATAGCCTGAGTTGGATGTAAATATATATGACCTAACAATCCCACCCCTAGGTGTATACCCAACAGAAGTGCGTACATGTGTTCATCCAGAGAAACGCCCTAAATCTTCACAAAATCTCTCTCCATAATAACCCCAAACGGGAAAGCACCCAAATGCCCATGTTGGTTGGATAAGCACATTAGGGTATATTCACACAATGGAATCCCAGACTGCAATGAGAATGAGCTGCAACTCCACCCCCAGCTTGGAGTGTATTCACCAACCTAGTGGTGAACAAGATAAGGCAAAAATGCACCATAGGATTCCATTTATATAAAGTATAAAACCCAAAACTCATCCTTGTGGTTGCAAGTAGAGATCAGTCCTAAGAAGAGAGTAACCAGAAGAGGGACATGAGGTGCTGGGTGCTTCTGGGATGTTCTGTTTCTTGATCTGGTTGCCGGTTACCTGGGTGCGTTCCGTTTGTGAACATTCTTGGAGCTGTACACTTTTGATTTGGGCACTTTTCTGTGTGTATGTTATACTTTAATAAAAAGTTGGGTTTTGTGACTTGCAATCAGGAATCCTACCTTTTTTTTTTTTTTTTTTTGGCACTTTGCTCAAATTTTTACTCCTCTTTAAATACCATTAACATTACATTAATGATAACTAGCATCGCTAGTGGGGCATTTTAAGAGCATGCTTGACATCATTTTAAAGTACAAACTATGATCCTCAGCTATCTGGATGGAGAATAGGCCATCAGCACCACGCAGGTGGGGCCCTGTGAACAAGATGCGCAAACTCTGTGGAATTTGTGTCTTTCGGGAAGACAGTGAGGGATCCCCCTGGGAGTTCCCATGTGATGATGGAGATGCTGTCCTCTCAGGCTCTCCTGCCTTCTGACCATCAGGAATGGATGGAGGAGATGGCCTGCTGCAAAACCCTGTCATCAGACACCACCGTTGAGGAGGGAGCTGCAGCACAGGCCCCAGGGGGCTCATCTATGACACCTCTGAATGCAAGCTCAGATGCCCAGGTCACCCAGCCCATAGGTGTTAATACACTGGGGCTGGAACACCGATGGCCACTCTGCTCACATCCCTGGGGGCTCTGGCCCTGTTTCTGAACCTCGGATTGTTTCTGAGCATCTCCTAGGGCATCTCTCTTGTTCTCAGCTACCAAGCAGCCTCTGCCATCTCCCTGTGGCAGCTCTGGCGTGTTGAGTTCCAGGGCAATCACAGAGCAGTTTCACGCTGGGACCCCACGACATGAGTCAAAAGGGCTTGCCTCTGATCCTCAGCTCCAGCCCCCATGGAACTCAACCACAAATCTGCCCATTGTCAGCAGCCCCCCTGCTGCTGGGAGCCAGGGGAGCGAGCAAACCAAAGGGCAGAAGGAAGTTTGTTCTGGTGACTCTTCAGATTTGAGATGAAAATAATAAGAGTAATAACAAGCAACACTGATCTGATGTCAGAGGTGTGTGAACCAAAGCAACTCCATCTTGAACAGGAGCTGGGTAAAATGAGGCTGAACCCTACTGGGCTGCATTCCCAGATGGTTAAGGCACTCTAAGTCACAGGATGAGATAGGAGGTCGGCTCAAAATACAGGTCATAAAGACCTTACTGATAAAACAGGTTGCAGTAAAGAAGCTGGCTAAATCCTAGCAAAACCAAGACGGCCACAAGAGTGACCTCTCTGGTTGTCCTCCTTGCTACACTCCCATCAGCGCCACGACAGTTTACAAATGCCATGGCAACATCAGGAAGTTACCCTATATGGCCTAAAAAGAGGAGGCATGAATAATCCACCCCTTATTTGGCATATCATCAAGAAATAACCATAAAAATGGGCAACCAGCAGCCCGCGGGGCTGCTCTGTCTACGGAGTAGCCATTCTCTTATTCCTTTACTTTCTTAATAAACTTGCTTTCTCTTTGCACTGCAGACTCGCCCTGAATTCTCTCTTGCGTGAGATCCAAGAACCCTCTCCCGAGGTCTGGATCAGGATCCCTGTTCTGTAACACTGAGAAGAACATGGATGATAGCAATCCATTAGACAGAATTACTCACACTTACTTCTCCTCAGCTCTTCAGGGGGTAAGACACCAGGTCATGGGCGAGGTTTTTTGTTTTGTTGTTTTTTTCTTGAGACGGGATCTCATTCTGTTGTGCAGACCAGAGTACAGTGACGCCATCACAGCTCACTGCAGCCTTGAGTCCCTGGGCTCAAGCGATCCTCCGGCCTCAGCCTCCTGAGTAGCTGGGACTACAGGTGCACGCCACCATGCCAGGCTAATTTATTTTTATTTTTTTGTAGAGACAGGGTCTCACTATATTGCCTGGGTTAGTCTTGAACTCCTGGCCCACCTCTGCCTCCTAAGCACTGGGATTACAGGTGGGAGCCACCATGCCCTGCCATGGGCTGTTTTCATGAAAGATCAGAGGATGCCCTCTAACCCCCAGCTTCCAGCCGCATCTCCTGGGTGGCACAGGATGTGCTCTGCCATCCTCAGGATGTAGGCCCAGAGCAGCAAAGGTAGAGGATGAGCTGGGCGTCTGCCCAGTTTTAATGCTTTTGTTGATGTGTGGACAAGCCAGCGACACATTAGTACCATCCTGCACTCCATCTGGTTTCCAGGCAAACCCTCACAACTTGATTCAGTTTCAGCTATACATAATGTACTAACTTGTAAATGTTCAAACCCACATACGATCATTAACCGCATGCTGGTATTGTAACCACTTACTTCAAAGATTCCCTAGTGACCCAGGGTGGCCTCCAAGGCCCTGCCTGCCCTGACTCCTACTTACTCTCCAGCATCCCTTTCACACCTCACTCCCCCGAGAACCCTGTGCTCCATCCCCACCGGCCATGATTCAAGCCCACCTACTAGCCATGCTCCCTGCTGGACAAGGCCTTTGCACCTGCAGCTTCCTCTGCCTGGCACACTCTTCCCTCCTCTCTTTGCCAGATGGACTGATTTGGTAGCTCTTGACTCAAGCATCACTGAAGACTCAAGCCTTCTCTGACCTCTCTGACGAGGTCCAATCTATCTCTAGGTTCTTATTCACTGTGAGGCTCTCCTTTGAGGCCCTTGTCATGGTTGCAGTTTGACATCTGTGTAAGTGATGACTCAAAGAAGATCTGTCTCCCCCACGATGCCATAAACCCTCTGAGGCCCGGGGTTCTGGCTGTGAAAGGAAAAGAAATCTCCCCAAAATCACTAAGCCAGAGGGAAGGGTCAAGCTGGGAACTGCCTCGGGCAAACCTGTCTCCCACTCTATTCCTAAATAAGACAGTTACATACACACCACCACCCCCACCACCAGTCCCCCAACCCCCACGCACTCCCTCACAATTTGCCCACAAGGAAATTCCTTGCGGACAAAGGACAGGCAGAAGTCAAAGTCATCCCTTTACTCGTGTGAGACAAATGCACATCCGATCTGCTTGCTCTGCCCTATTGTTTCACTAAGCCAGAGTAGGCATAAGTGACTATTCCTGTAAATCAGCAGTCCCCAACCTTTTTGGCACCAGGGGCTGGTTTTGTGGAAGACAATTCTTCCATGCATGTGGGGTGAGGGGCATGGTTTCAGATGAAACTGTTCCACCTTGGATCATCAGGCGTTCGAGTCTCATAAGGAGCAACCTAGGTCCCTCCCATGCACTGTTCACATAGGGTTCACCCTCCTATTAGAATCTAATGCTGCCACAGGTCTGGCAGGAGGCAGAGCTCAGGCAGCAATGCTCACTGGCCGCTCACCTCCTGCTTCCTAACAGGCCACAGATCCATACAGGTCTGTGGCCTGGGAGTTGGAGACCCCTGCTGTAAACTGTTTATTCGGCGAAAGGCTAATCAGAAACTCAAAAGCATGCAACAGTCTGTCTCTTATCTACCTAGGAGCTGGAAGCCCCCTCCCCACTTTGAGTTGTCCTGCCTTTCTGGACTGAACCAATGTATATCTTACATATATTGACTGATGTCTCATGTCTCCCTAAAACGTATAAAATCAAGCTGTGCCCCGACCACCTTGGGCATATGTCATCAGGACCTCCTGAGGCTGTGTCATCGGTGTGTTCTTAACCCTGGCAAAATAAACTTTCTAAATTGGTTGAGACCTGTCTTGGATACCATTTGGTTTATAGGTTTTACTCATTCCCAGCACCAAACATATCATCTGGCACATGATAGCAATCAGAAAGTATTATCTGAATAAAGGCATGAAAGTTACTACTAGTCCTTTCTTGACACTAAGTGCTTCTCCTTAGGGGTGTGAATGAACCCTTAGAAGACTGAAATAGTAACCAAGGAAAAGGGGCAGGGGAACCAATATTTGTTGAGTGCAAACATGTGCCAAGTCTTGAGCAAAGGAGTTAACTTATTTTTTCCCCCCTGAGATGGAGTCTCACTCTGTCACCCAGGCTGGAGTGCAGTGGCACAATCTCGGCTCATTGCAACCTCCACACCCCAGGTTCAAGCGATTCTCCTGCCTCAGCCTCTCAAGTAGCTGGGATTACAGGTGCGCACCACCATGTCCGGCTAATTTTTGTATTTTTAGTAGAGATGGGGTTTCACCATGTTGGCCAGGCCAGTCTTGAACTCCTGACCTCAGATGATCTGCCTGTCTCGGCCTCCCAAAGTGCTAGGGTTACAGGCGTGAGCCACTGTGCCCAGCCAGGAGTTAAGTTTTTTAATCCTTACAAAATTGAATTATGATATTCTTTATCCCATTTGGTAGATGTATGTTCCTCATATAAATATGAGGAAGCTGAGTTTAGGCTGGGTGCAGTGTCTCACACCTGTAATCTCAGTGCTCTGGAAAGCCGAGGTGGGCAGATTGCTGGAGCTCAGAAGTTCAAGACCAGCCTGGTCAATACAGCAAGACCCCCATCTCTACAAGAAATTTAAAAATTAGCCAGGCATGGTAATGCATGTCTGTAGTTATAGCAACTCAGGAGGCTGAGGCAGGAGGATCACATGGGATCAGGAGGTCAAGGCTGCAGTAAGCTGAGATCATGCCACTGCACTCCAGCCTGGGCAGCAGAGAGAGATGCTGTCTCAAAGAAAGAGAAACAGAGAAAAGAAAAGAAACTGAATTCAAATTAAGTAACTTGCCAGATGTTAGACAACTACTAAGTGACTGAATTTGAATTTGAATCAGTCCACCTGACAACACCACTACCCTGCCTGTTGTCTCGGCCAGGCACAGTGGCTCACGTCTGTAATCCCTGCACTTTGGGAGGCAGAGGAAGGCAGATTACCTGAGGTTGGGAATTCAAGACCAGCCTGGCCAACATGGAGAAACCCCGTTTCTACTAAAAATACGAAATTACCTAGGCATGGTGGCGTGTGCCTGTAATCCCAGCTACTCAGGAGACTGAGGCACGAGAATCGCTTGAACCCAGAAGGCGGAGGTTGCGGTAAGCCGAGATCGCGCCATTGCCCTCCAGCCTGGGCAACAAGAGTGAAATTCAAAAAAGTCTCAAAAAAAAAGAAAAAAAAAAAAAAATAGAACCAAAAGGCTCTCATCTCCTCCATATCTCATTTAAAGAAAAAATACAAAGTCAGGCA